AATATGTTGAATTTAGTCTGGGCAAGCGGGTAAAATTCTTATAATTATGATCTTGAATAGTAAAATTAATGTTATCAGCCCTCTGCAGTTTAGCGATCACGCACTGCTTTAATTAACGTAATATATTAAAACAAAATTGCTCTAAACTTAATTTCTGGGTGGTCTTGGAATAGATTTCTTTTAATAAACCTAGGACTAGCCTTAAAACTAAGCAACCAATACAATATTAAAATTAGCTTGAAAACAGGTTATATATAAGATATTTCTATATTTGTTTGCTTATAATTTTATAATCTAAATGTGTGAGTTTTTTAATATCGGATAGCGTCAATGCAAGTTTGTCCCGTTTCCGTTACTTTTAACTATTTTATTGCTCTCTTAAATCCTCTACGGTTACCACTTTCATAATTGTGTCATCTTTTATGACGTCTCGTTAAATTGACAAAGTTGTGAGCAAACGGAATTGACATTAGCCGTCACATAGTCTTAGGCGAAGTCAGTGGATAGGCTGGTAAAATACGCTACCTTCTTCAAGTAGAAGGTACAAAATATGCAAGTAAAACTGATTTTAGTAGTAATGTTAGTTAGTGTGTTTTGCTTTTAAAAGGGGTTAATTATATTTAAAAGCTGTCCTCCTACAAAGTCTACGAAGGTGGCTACAACCTCAATTCACATCTAATTCCTTAATGGCAAATATATATTGGAATAAGATTCCGGAGCTGATATTATTAAAATATCTCGAGCGATCTAATCCCTGAAGTAGCACTTAGAGATATAACTTATGAAGTGCCGAGTATTTTTAGCAACGGATGCCGCTCTTCCCTCTTGCCCTAGTCGATACACCTGGCTTTATGTCACTTAGTTATTTGTGTAAGTTATATTTTGAATGACGTGCTATGAGAGAAAACAATTATTTATTTGTGAAAAAGTAATATGAATTTTACGTATATTTTTTTCTTTTAATACTTGTAGTTTGTTCTACAAGTTAATTTCTAAAGTTAAAGTTTTTTCGTTTAAAAAATTACAAGTTTTCGTAACGTTACCTGTTAAACATTAAACGAGCTTTAAGTCAAGATTAGTTGATCCAAGTTATTTAAAAACACAATCTCGCTAAAGTTACGAACTGCGCTATTTAAAAGTTTTAATAAATGGTTCTGATGAATCGAGGGCGGAATCCTCGCGAACTCGTTATAATGTTGATAAAACTCTTTTTTACTTTATCGGACAATAAATAAGGATTTTACGAATGATCGAGCCGACAGAGTTGAAGCAGAGATACTTTATCATTTTCTCAACTTTTCATATTCATTTGTGTAGGTAACCTTTGATTTGGATTAATTTGCTTAAATAAAACTGTGTTTCGTAGCTTTATGTTTCATATTAAAACGATTCATAAAAATCGACGAATATTCATAAATTCTTCAAATAAATCCATCAGAACAGGATTTTTTAACGAAAGGCCTTGAATGATACAATTATTTAATCTTAATTCCATTAATAGCGAAAGTGAATACACCTGTAAATCTTAGTCCTTTTCTAGTATTTTGTAAGTGCAAATTGAATAAAAATCCTGCTCCATTTCTTTCACCGAAGAGCAACCCTAATGAAAGCAGATGGTTGCGGTAAACCGTATCCAAACTTCGGATTTTCTTTAGCCGAGAACGCAAACTTTGAGTAGCAGAAACCACATTTACTTCATACATTATTATATTATATGATAACCGTATGTTAAGACTGTCTTAAAACTTCTTATGTACACGGATAAAGGTGTTGAATTATACGTTGAGTGTTGTCAAATGTACTGTAACAGTACGTAATTAACTCCATTTTGCAATAAACTTAATAACGACCCACAATATTTCCGAAATCCCTAACAATAAATCGCGAATGTTCATAAGGAAAACTCGTAGAGATAACAGAAAAACATTATTTAATACCAAGAATATCAACACGAAATCACACAGTATAAATAAAAGGATAAAATATGAGTTCAAATGAAGGGACTCTACTAATAGCGAAACCTTGTTAAGTGGTTCAGAAAGATACGGAATAGGGACTTGACGAAGAAAAGATATTTACCTTAAGCAAAAGGGCAAATTGAATAAAATCATCGAAGAAAAATACAATAAGCCGACTGTCGATTCGTAAGGAAAATTAATGTTGGGATTTTGTCGGAAGGACAAACGGAGGGAAATGTTATATTAATTTTGACGTAGAGATTTATGTAAAAGTGGCCGAAACGGATACGGGTAAGCAAGAGCCTATAAAGTTTAATTTTGTTTCAATTAAAAGTTTATTCATCAGATTTACGTCCAATGAACTTAACTTTATTCTTCTTAAATATACGATACATCAATGGTGTTAAAAATTCTACCCGAAGTAGGAAAGTTGGTCATCAGCTTTCAGAAAGGCTTTTATTCCTGCCTGAGATATTTGATTTTCGCTTTGAGTTGTACGTTGCGCTTAAAAGGTTCGTCGTTAACAAGCTTAAGTTGTAAGAAATTCGGTAAAATATTAGATCCAAAATTATTCGTATTCGTTATGATTTCGGCTCATTTGAATAAGGGTCAAGTTGTTATTGTATTTCTGTTTGTTTTGTAACTTAGCTGCCGACAATTGCGCCTTGTAATTGTATTATGTAAAAGGACAATACATTGTTCTTAAACTTTTGAAAATTTATATTTCTTTTACCAGTAAATATTAGCGCTTACGCATGATCTACAAATTTCTCTGAAATCATTTATACTTTTATTAGAAGTACACATTAAATTTGGTAACTTACTATAAACTTGAAAAGTACCCTTTAATATTATATGCGTCATTAGTTTTAGTACTTCCGCCCCCAACTTCAAATATTTACGTCAAGGTTGCATTACACCTTTTAAAAAGTAGTAAGTAACTTGGAAAACAACCAACACGTCGCCACAGTAGATTTGGTGAAAATGTGGAAAGTTCACAAATAATTTATGTGTCGATTTCAGCGGGCAAATAGTCGCCGAATATTTCAGTGGGTTTCAGCCGAATTTGCATTTGTTGATAGCGCCTTGTTTACGGGAAACATCCACATTTTAGTGCCTTTCTTAATAAGGTTTACTAGTAAACAGGTTGATAAATTAAATAAATGATGATATAGTTTTTATGTTTGTTTAATGTACATAACAAAGGTAGTCAGATTAGCTGATGAGATCCATGCGTAGGAAGGCCGACAGAGCACGGAGAAAAGATGATAAGCTAATCAAATGATAATCAATTCCGGAGCAGATTATTCAATTATTCGTAAGTCAGTTCAATTAGTGAGTAAGGAAGAAGCAAAAACAGTGCTTTCGGTCTGCGCTTTAATTGAAGTGTTCCGTTAGGCGCTGCGGGCAGACCGCCCTGTGGTCACCCAGGGATGCCTTTGCGTTATTAATTCCTAATCAACGCTATGCAATTATCAGTTTGCAATATTGTAATATCATGTTTTGTTGATTATATTATGTGTACTGTATTAAAAGTTAAGATAAATATTTCTCAGTACTAGTGGTCTACTACCCCTTATACTAGTACTAGTAGTTTTTGTACCAAGTCCTTAATAATAATTCTTTTTTTTTTAGAAACTACGATATTCTACTATACTCTGATTGTTTTCTGATTCCGTAGAATCCTGACATTTCATAAGTTCTCCACCAAAAAAGGGACAAATTTGACTTATTTGAGGGCAATGAAAAAAAAAACTACGTATTTTTTATATTTTACCTACAAAAAGGTAAATTTTAACATTTTCTTACTCAAGTGACTAATTCAAAAATAACAAATATTTTAATATCACGAACAATATATCGAATTAACTTTAATTGCTTTATTTTATTCTTTAGCTGGCATCACTGCCTACTAATTCCACGTTGAAAAAATACCTTTTGAAAAAATATAATGTTATCTTTACTTGTGCGTTTTTTACTGTTTGTGATGAAAAGGAACGTAATTATCACTCGCCGTTGATAATTGAAATTGAAAAATGTGCCCGGCCAAAAAGGTTTGCCATCTATGACATGTCAAAAAATGAAAGCTGTCAGAATTCTACGGAATTAAAAATCAGAGTATATATAATAAATGTTTAATATTGCGACGTTTTAAAGTTAGTTTGTGGCAGCCCTTTAAATCATGAGTCAGCACTAAAATTAATTGATATTCGATAGTTAATGCAAACCGCGAGAGTTCCGTAATTAGTTTTATTAATATTAATTCTCAGTATGTGACTAAGCTCTTGTCTGCTTCGAGATCTTGAGAGCAGCAACGTCTTCATGTTTTATCAAATTAAATTTTGCTAACCTTAAATAGCATATATACAAGTACAAATAGTGAAGGTGAGTCATTTTTTGTGTCATAGCTATTTTGCAAACAAAAATCTTCTTCAGAACATAGTCACCACTTTTTCGGTTTTCCCAAATACATAATTTGAAAGTAAAATAATGTAAACCACACTGTATGTGTATGCATACGGTATACCTATATGTAAAAAATAAATATCTGAGTCAGCTCATGATTCACCGATTACCAATAGTACCGCAACCAATTGTACCAGTTTTGTGTTAATTTAACGTTAAATATAAAGTTTTTCTCTTGCAAAGTAATTAGTGGCGTTGTTAGTGGGGTAAGACTATTTGATTAGTTGATTGCTCTTAATTTGTCGTTGCGGCTGTTGACATAGAAAATAAAAGTTGTTTCGGTAATTTAATCAGGAAGTTGGGACGATAAAAAGACTGTCAAGCATGATTTAATATCGAAGACGTGGCTTGATTTGGGTAAAATAGATTATAGAGAAAACGTTGATTCTGTCTGCGATGGATATTTTAGTTTGGACTGGGGGATACCCTAACTCAGCTAAAATATGTATTTCTCATAGACTTCTATAAACTTCATTGAATGTTTTGATTTATTAGCGAGTAGATCAAACTTTAGTCCCTCACAAATCTAGGGCTTGTCGGGTGACTCACTTGCTCACTGTCCGAAAAAGTGTATGGATGGTATATAAAAACATTAAACTGCCAAGACGCATCAAAATTATATAACAGTAAAAGCATTCCAATTCGTTGTAAAGCTCGTAAGTCCACCAATAGTAACGGATTAAAAGCTTAACAAACACTGGGTCTAGTAACGTTTAAAACTTTGCGTGGCTCGACAGCTGCGCGCCATTACCTAACCTGTCTAATTTTGATTTTCCCAATATATGGATGCATTTTCTATGTGCTTTTACGTGGTTTCAGAATTGTAACACACGCTTTAAAGTTGTATGAGTTTTATCGTTAGCTCGCTAGGGAGCTCGCAGCCGAAGCGAAGTCGAGAGCTCGTTTAAGAGCGAAAAGCCTTCGGAACTTTCCATATCAACAAACGTATCAAGTAATCATAACAATAAATGGTATCTAGAGCGTACTTAATCAAAACTGACCCAGCCGTTATTTACTGTTCCCACGGGTTATCAGACAGTTAGCGATAAAGGCGATTGTTCATTGCGCGACCTGACGCGTGTTTTGTTGGATGCATTTAGTGGAACTCTTTGTTTATCGACCTACTTCACGGTGCGATAAACAAAATTTCATATCTGTCATCGTTGGCTTAGATTATGATTATTCAGTTATTTCCCTACAGGAAACAAAGGCTTGTCAGCTTTAGTATTTCACGGAAATCACTACCACTTTGAAATGAAGAATTTCTTAAATTAGATCAAAATTGTTTCAGCGGACCCCTTGCCCGGCAAGCACGTCCCACTTGAGAGCTATGAGAGCGAGCTGGAGCGAGAACATGCCCTGCCCACGTCCGTCCCCAACGCCGACATACTCAAGACAAACAGCAACCCCACATACCACAAGCCCAGGTGAGTTGACAACAACATTTATTCGAGAAGAGCGTCACTATGTTATTGTAGAATAAGTACCTACAATAAATTAAATCATACGAAGAATAAATGTTACCATGGTAAATATATAATTAGAACTCACGTTAATTACACGATAGTAACTTCAAAAGTAGTTTCATAAAATCCCGAGAGGCCGAGCGACAGTACTTCAAAATGAGTTTAATCAAATGCCTTTAGAAAAAAGTCATTTCATGACATTACTGGCTTTTATAAGTTTTCTTTTATTTAAAATTAGCTCACTTACAATAAAGACATCCTTGACACATTAACCGAAGTAAAGTGATTATGAATTCAGTGAAAACCCGTTGAAGCCGAAAAGTTAATCAATAGGAAACTTTGAGATGGACCGATATTTAAATGCGAATGTCCGTTTTGAGTATAATTTTTGGAGGAGCAATTTTAATAATTGGCTCGGGCACTCTTCGCCAATTCCGCGAATTAATCCTTATCGTAAATTTTAGTTAGTGCCTCTTAAAGTTAAATAATCGTTTACGTAAAAGTTTCCCTTCCGAGCTGTTTAATTCGCTTGTAATAAAAACTCGTGGATCGGATGGTACCGGTTTATCCGAATTGTTATGTGAACATGGCGTAAGAGAATATGGTGTATGTCTTTCGTCTGAAGAGGAACCTGCAAAAGATAAAGTTTTCACTATTTTAACAGTTGTTATTGTCGTACGTCACTTTAGGTCAAACCATTGACTTTGGTAGGAAGCCTTTATTTCAGTTTCGATATTTATAACTAAAATCGTAAAAGACAAGTAACTGGTGATAACAACAATACTTGGTCAGTTGGTTAGGTTAGGTTAGTTTTCTTCGTGTCTTTCGTGCCACGTAGGCATTCCTTATATAACTGTGCTATACTGCAAACATAAACGTTGATGCTATAAAATCAGTGTTTTCAATGATCCAGTAAGTTGGTGTTTATTTCTTTACAACTAACTTTATGGCTCCCATTCTGTTCTCGTTGCCCACCCGTGTCGTTGTCTATTTATTGATATCTTCCTAGAAAATACTGCGTATGAAAGCTATATAACCTGGTATATTATATAGCTTTCATACGCAGATGATATAGCAAAATCTAAATGGGTATATATGTACAATCAGTTGCAGCTCACTAATTAGCAAATTTTGCACATTAGCCTTGATATTTTAGCTTTAATAATTGTCAATCAGTGACCTACTGATTGCTTTTTAATAATTCTTTAATAATAAAATTTAATTTGTTTTAAGCAAAAGTAAGTCAGATATTATGATGCATTCAAACTCAAACTCCAAATAACTTTATTCATATAGGCAACCAAGTACACTTATGAACGTCAACAGAAAAGATGTTAAATTGATTAATAACGATTGACGAATCAGTAATATACATCTGGTATTTGCAAGCTCAGATAGCTTTTTTGTATAAAATAATTTTTAATCATTTTCTATAACATTAATGCAAATTGTTGCTCCATCGAGTTGTCGATTATAATCGGGAAATAAGCGATATAATCGCAGTCAAATCTCACGGCAGTCCGATTCTATTAGTTGATAGCGATTTATCTCGACAGCGGTTGAAGCTTTGTGAGAATAATTCTGATTATCGGAGGAACGGACAATTATAATAATTGCTTCGATATTCGCTTTAATCAAATTAAAAATGGTTATTAATCTTGTTATTAAAATATAGTAAGGCTCAATTTTGTAACCTTTCTTAAGTTATGTGATATACGTTATATACACAAGACAAATGATACAAGTTTGTTCGATATATTAAGAGATAGAAAGCTATATTTTCTCTCGCGTTGATTCGATTGTTAGTGGGATAATGTAATGATTCCGGCAATTATGATAAATAATTTAAGGCTTTGTTTTTTCAATTCAAGTTCAAAGTAAGTTTAACGTAATACCAAAAAATTACAATAAAAATGTGTAAAATATCATGTAGTCAAAACAACGGACTAATGTCTGTAAAAACTAAAAAAGAAAAGTTCTAAAATGCTTAATAAAACCTCTAGGGCTATACATGTGCTAATACTTTGGAAACACTAAAAGAAATACATTAGTAAAGTTCTTAAACTCGCATCTTGACGAACAAAAGAACCGCAAAAGTTTTGAATCGTTCATTCTTTTATTCACTTTTTATTTAGTTCCCGATGTGAGCCCATCACTAGCACAATGCCCAACTTTGTCTCAGATCCAGTAAGATGCCACAGTTGATAGAACTCACAGTGCAAAAGTCATTGTTAAAAGTTAATTAAAAACTACCTCGTTGTTGTCTAATTATTATAGCGTTTAAACTGTAACACCTAGCACGGAATTATAAAAAAGAATGTATAACTGCAAGTTAGTAAACTTGAAATAGTTCATTCAAATTAGATGGGTTGTTATATAATAAAGTTATCAATACTTCCGACTGGTTCATTGTGCAGGAAAAGCCTGCCTAATAAATGATGCAGCTTTTTATCAATTCTTAGAGTTGCCTAAATCAGACGTTTCATGATACTAAAATGTCTTTAAAACTGCCTTTATTACAAAGTCTTACAAAAAACTTTGACTCGGCTATGTCTCCCTTTCCTTCGAACCTTTTACAGTGATTAATTTCAACATATAAGTACATAAGCGTTATGTAAGAGCGTATGTATCGTATCAGTTGGCAGGCATCCCGGGTATGTAGGGCATATCGAACATGACATTCCAATGTACTATGTCGCTTTCGATCTAACTCTCAAACCTAATTTGTTGCTTAAGCCAATAATATAGTATATACAGGCTGATTTAATATGTTATTGGTTAATTCTCTTTAATCATGCAACTTAGTCGTAAGTAAAAATTAAGTATATCTTTACTACCAGAAACGCTTTTTAATATATTCGTTTTTTTGTGTTATTGCAAGGAAATTCTTTGTATTAAAGGGGTACCTACTCTTTAAAATTAGAGTTGCTTTAATGTGAGACAGCCTGTACGTCCAATATATTAGCCAATTTAATATGGTTGAGATATTGAGGGCGAGTGTTTATGGCTACAACCATTAATGTTTATAGACTTTCGTACTAATGAGCCGTTATTAAATTTTTACTTTTTCCTATAACTCGCGGTGGTTAGGAAAGCACTCGTTTTATGGAACAATAGGTTTAAGCAGCTGAAATCTTTAAAAATTTAATGAAAAAACTGTTGTTGTTATATTTAATTGTCAGTGTAAAGTTCTATGAGAACGGAAGAGTATTTGATTAACACCATTATTTTCTTTCAACAAATCCAACAGTCACGAGTCGTATTGTAAAAACTGAATGGCACTCGAAATTCCAGGCACAATCGTTCGGTACATCCAATTAAATCAATTTAACCCTATCATTAAACTCATTGTTAACTATTAATTTTAACATTCGGTGTTTTTGATTTCAAATCTCACGGGCCTTACAAACAATTAAGCAGTGGTAAATCGTGACCAAACAGAGTTCTGCAATCGATCCTATTGACGTCCTAATTAGAAATTATTCATGCGACTCCACCAACAAACTTAGAATCAAAATATTGAATCAAAATATTACACATTACACGTGGTTCAACAAAAAAGGGAGTGCATAATTTATATCGCTCGAAATAGAAGGGCTCTACGAAAATAAGCCGTGGAAGTTACAAAAAGTTGTTTTTATTGAATAATTCCACCGCCATTATCCGTAAAGGATTGCTGACTCCGCTTTAGGGTTAACTAAGAATCTGTGAGTGTCCGTACGATGATTTCTTTAATCAAGTACAAAGGAACTGCTCGGGGCGTTTCTTTATTATATTCATTACAGTACGGTAGAAGAAGTTTAATAACTTATTAAATATTAACGAGGTTTTGCAGTTTTCCGCTTACGGATGAAAACTGACGGATCTTATTACAAAAATTAATGAGCTAGTATAATCTCATCCCTGCATTGTTGTGCTTCTGTAATACACTTAACTATTTTAGATTGGTTTTCGAGTGGAAAATAAAAAAACGTTCTAAACGAACCAGGATGTATTTCTTTATTATACAAAAATCCAAATCCTTGCTTTAATTCATATTGTATATAACATCAGGTTAACCCCAAAAAACCTATAAAAATCAACGATGTTTGCGTTTAACCCCAGGCTCAGCAAACGTTACGATCCGTTACGTAATATTACCGATTAGGACATTTGATTACATTCACTGTGCGATTATGCAAATCTCTATTGCCTGACGATGCGTCACGATTCACCAGAGCCGTGCCTTGCCTTCGTGAAACAGGCGGTATTAATTAAGCAAAAATTATGCAAAGAAGTTTATTTCATCAGAACACAGAGATCGGGTTGCGATTATGCGAAGATGGTTAGAAAGTCTCACGTTACCTGTTTGGAAGACGAAGCTCTTATAACGACCTTATATTGGATAGGAATTATTGAGTTATCTAGGTAATTACTGTTTCAGTTAGCCTTTGTCACGATTTGCCGTATGGAAATGTCGTGTTATACAAATTTATATATAATATATTCTATATATACGCAGACTTTGATCGGAATAATTATTTAAAGATTGATATAGAATGAATAATGTCCAACATTTAATTTACTGGGAGCTCTCCGCAACAGTTATGAAATACATGGCAATTTCAAATAACACCGAAGGCGGGCTCAAACTTCGTTATTACGTTTTTTCTTGTCCCTGGTGCTGAGCCATAAATAAATCACACTGACGGCACGGACTTGCTTATTTTTCCTTTTATATAAAAATATTCCGATTCGGAAGTACTCTTTAAGCCTACGTAATTTTTGGTGTCCCGCTGATATTGGGGTGTTATAATAACCGTAATTTATATAATTCAGAGAGAAAGAGTTTAGTAATTAAGTAAAGTGACAGTACATCGATGAAAGAAAAACCCTACCGTCTCCAGATTATAAATCTGTCCCAAAGGACCCGATGACGCATTTTTAAACGCGTTATGCAGTGAGGAGTTCCCAAAACGATTTTATAATTTTCTTAGAGGCATTGTTGACGAAGGAAGGACAAATATGTGTTAAGGTGACTAAATATACCTTAGTATTTGTGCAGACCAAATGCAGTTGAAGCTACCGAAACCAATAAATATAACATTTGTTGTTATTATACAGATATAAAAACAATCCCAATTTTCCATATTTAATTCTAACGAATCCAAAGCGTTGAAATATAGCATAGCATACATATAGTCTTAAATTCATTCCACACGTAAATTGTTTATAAAAGATTAGAATCTAGTTTAAAATGTATGCATTATGTATAAATATGCAGGACATCTGCGATCTCTACAACTGTATCTAATAATATGTTGCAGTTCTTTGATTTCGACAGAAGGGAGGGGTGGACTCACAAAAGCAACCCCATGTCTCGGCGAGTTTGAATTTTTAATCGCGAAGCTTAAAGTTGCACCTTCCTTTTACTCCTTTTTTGAACACTCAAACGAGGGTTGTTTGATGATTGATGACTATGTCTTGTTCTAGGTAAAAAAAGCTATGATAAAAAAAGACCAATTAGTACTTTTGCAAATAAACTGATTTAATCTTTGTGAAAAAAGGGGGTATAAATACTCTATAAACCTTTAGATTTTTTACTTAATGTAATTTTAAATAAAATTGTATAAAATCTCAGAGCAATATTGTATCGTAGTATACAATAAACTTATGTAAGCATAAATTGTGTCTGTACATAATGTGAGATGTAGAGATTAGGAGAGTCGAATTTATAAATCCGAGCTTTAGCTGAGTGATGCATTAATCTTGCCTCGTCAAAATGTATTCACTCGTGTGGCTCCAGCGAGTTATTGAAATAAGATGTTTAGGATCTTATATATATACATAATAAATCGGCATAAAAAAGCAATTAAATTATCTCGTAAATAATAACCGTCTTATATATTTTTGTATTTTAATCTAGCGCGTCAGACGCTAAAATTTATAACATAATCAAATTTATATATACACCGGTATAGGAAGCATACAGAAAACTTCAAAGCAGGCAAATAATAGTATTAGCAAAAGTTCTTAAAATATAAAAGTACAAAAAACGCAGACAAACGCTTGTTCGATTGAAGCCGTGAAATTATAAGTTGCACAAGCCGGTAATCGGATATTTTACAAAAGTGGGGATACTTGCAGCGCTGCAATTCTCGAGACCACTATTAATCTAAACCGGCATTGTTTCTCCCCATTGTTGGACGGCATCGAACCCCGACCCGCTTTTAACCGCTTAACTACTTGACAATTGCTTTCTTTTGCTTTTCGGATGCAATTTCTAGGGTTTAATCATTTTGCCCTTCGTTTTTATTGTTCTTTTTAATTTTCTTTAATAAAGAGAAAGAAATGGGACAGGTCAGTTAAAATAAAGCTTTCTTCTATTGAAAGTTTTCTATGTTATATTTGTTTCCCTATAGTCAAATCCTACAATTTTAGATGACATCTTCTAATGCGATATTACTATGCGATCTACTCAATTCGGGGTAGGTAATACACGTCGGGTGAATGTACAATGTACTTCCACGGAGAGAAATTTCATATCTTTAAGGTTTTCCTTCACGGGTCATAAAAAGTTTCCTCTGGTATACAATCTCATATAGGAGTAATAACATAATGCCGAATCCGAACAAAGATAATATCATGTAGATGGAAATTATACATTTCATGGTTGCACGACTTTGTGTGAACCGACCACAACTCTACGCGTGTAAATTATAGTAACTACAATGTAATCTTTGTGTGTTATTCGGGTAATTATTTGCTACCAGAGATTTACGAAATTGCTTATGTTTTAAAAAAATAATCTATAATGTATCAACCCTAATCTAGCCGAAAATGTACCCTATTAATACAACCATACGATGTTGGAAACACGAAGACCCCGCCCTTGGCTCAGCATACCGTTGAAATAAAGTTATTATGCCGAGCTTATGTTATTTAAAATTTCCACATTCAAGTCAACCTTCAAAACGCTGTTTAATATTCTGGCATCATCGCAAAAGCTGCCGCTTGAAAATATGACGTTAATTCGGAAAGCGTCCAGTACGAGTACACTACACTCACGCGACAGACAAAACCTTGTTTTGAGCAAATTACATTTTTTCGCGTGGGATTCATTAAAATGCGGTTAGCGTTTGTAAAATAAACCGAATAGCCGCGGCTTTGGGCGCTTTGCCAATCCTCGCCAGACTGAATCACTGAACCGGCCAGCTCCAGGGTGACTGCCTTTTCGAGGTATTGGGATACTCTGCTGGAATACTTAAACGCCTATAAAACATAGAATTTTCTTCGAAGGTCTTTTGATTACCATTTCATGAAAAGGGATTATATTTCTATTTATTAGCGACTATGAAATTTGGTGAATGTTTTAGTTGCTTGTGAAATGGTAACCCTATTCGTGTATGGGATGGCGTGTGAGAGGTCAGTCTAATCTGGTCGCCGACATTTGGTTCAAGTCTAATATTATTGTTATCTGTTCGTTGGTCTCTTATTTTATACTATATCATTAAAAGGAAAAACAGTCTGCTCCGAGTGTATGATATGATCGTTTTGGAATCGTCACATTCACCCTATGTTTACGTGCATTGCGTTTATCCTTGGGAAGACTCTCCATGGAGAATACCTCAAAGAATAACATGGGTCAGATGAAGAATACCTCATCTGACCTATGTTAATATATGTTAACGTGGCAAAATTATAATATTTTATTCAATAACATTAAAAGTATATGTAAATTGAGATAAAACAAACTTGTAAATTAACTACTAACTGGGTACTTAATTAAAACTTTGAATTAGAGACTAAAGTGATTGGCTTGGCATCAAAGTGGAACCTTTTTATACTGTCGGGTATAATTAATTACCCTCAAAGTAGACATAGACATAACATTTATTAGTAACAAAAACACACACACACAAAATAACAATAATCAAAGAAAAAATATAATCGGAGGTACCTGCATATATTTAAAAAAATGTATCCCGAATTTGAATTTTTTTTAGTGCCTATCTTATATGTAGTAAATGATATATAATTAAATCTCTATTTAAAAAGGCAGACTTATGAAGGCATGCAGACAGAAAAACTGTAATATGAAACGTTATGGGTAATGAATATATGTTGTATTCTATTATGTGTTTAATACAAAACTTTAATTTCCTTACAACATATCATATCATATTATATCACATAGCAACATATCAAGTGCAAACCGAAACACCCAAACACATATCGTACGTTGGCAGATTTGTGCAATAATGGACCTCCGCTTTAATAGAAAGCTGCAAAGCATTTTCACAATTTAATATCACACGAACACACATCCGGCCGCATTCCAAAGTTAAAATAACTTTAACGCTATTCGTGATATTCGGGGGGAACCCCCCCTGTATTGAAAATTCACTCGAACGTGCTTTTGCGAAACTGTCCGAGATTTAAGCTAGGATTTGAATAAACAGATACGTTTGACTTGGTTCTAGGAAATGTGCGAGCTAGAAATGGCTAGAATGTAGCCGGTGTTAGTTTTCGTGTAGCTATCGGTATTCTGTGGGTACCATTGTTGCTGGCTCGGTTTGAGGTGAAACTTTTGAGTACTTGAATAAAAGAATCAATTTTATTGTTGTGGACGCATTGTGTGCACGGGTGTGGTTGTAGATGTTATCTATATTTAGTATTGCGCCTACTTACCACTAAGATGACGTTGGCAAAGCGTGCTATACCAATAAAACTCTTATAAACGGTCGATAATTATTAAATAATTTATTTGTTTACAGGCCGCCGGCGCACCACGGCGCCGCGCTGTTGGCGGGAGTGGGCGCGGTGCCGTCCTATGCGCCACCCGGACGGGCCTTCTTTACGCCGCCTTTGCCGCCCGAGTATAAGAATCCATTCGCCGATAAGCCAACACTCAGAGGTAACTGAAAACATTACATGTGAAGATATTTATTGAAGTGCTAAATTTGGGAAAGATTTTTCTTCACTGTGTATTTTTTAATCTATATTTTAGAAGATGAATTCATCATCATCATCATCATCATTCAGCATCATTCACAGATAAGTGGGGTATAGTGAGTGGGCGCTGAAAGGGACAAAGTTCAATTCACTAACAATGTCAAAGTTTCAAAAGTACTAGATACTTTTTGTCTGAAATTTTCGACAAACCATTTCGAGTGGGCTCCAAACAATCAAGTTTTTTAGGAGTTTTGAAGTTAAATTAATTGTAGCTTTAGTTTGGAGCGCTTTATCGACCTATATTGTTCGTTGTTTCAATATTTAACAATGCTTCAATATAAAACAGTGTCGGCGATATTAAAGCGTTATCCAATTAAAATTTACAAATATAAAATATATTATGATATAATTCTATCGAATCGGTTCTTAAGTAACGGGACCTCTTTTATGTACCTCTCAGGCACCAACACTGACGGGAACAGCTACCTCAACCGGCGGCCTATTCCCCCACCCTCCCTCGGGCCCGGACACGAGAGGATCCCCATCAGACCTCCTGGACAGGTAACAAATAACAAATGACGTATCAATACAATTCGCAATCCGAATCCATTACACAGTAATTCAACTCTTACGACTCACGTGCGAGCACATTGTCTAGTGCGATAAACTCGAGTAGCGTGGCATCTGTGTAGTATCAAACAGAGTCGTCAAACACGTAATTTGCATAAACAGGTGTCGGATGCGAGTTAGCCGATTGGCCCATTTGCAGATGCAGTGAAACGTTGAATTGTACAATTTTCAGGAGACGTCTTCGCCGCAAGTGCCCGCCCCGCCCCCCGCACCGCCCGCGCCTCCGCCCGCCCTTCCCGACGTCTCCAGGAAGAAGGCCCTAAATACGCCCAGCCATAAGGTTTGTATTCCTCTCCACCCGACTCGAAACAGATGCGATATTGCAATAAAAATTCGGCTTCGCAAATAGAAATACACTGTCTTTTCCAGCCGTTTTTGCGAATTTATCGATAGCGTTTCTAGTTGTTTGCCAAATATGTAAGAATTTCGTTTAGTTAACTGGAAAAGTTTACTAGAAATGAGGTCGTAGTGAAATTACTCTCGGTTCATTTAATGTTTGGCTACGGTGTAGAAAAAAGTTTTAATTGGATATTATTTAGTAGGATACGCTAGCCGTAGCATTATATTATGTTACTCCAATACCACGACATTATAACAAGAACTATTGTTATTATTTCTTTCAGCCGGACGAGCTCGATGGCGACAAGCATGGTTCGGATCAGGCTAACTTCACCGACTTTGTTCCCAATTCCCTCAACATTCCCACTATATCCAGGATCCTGTCGGGCTCCAACGGGAGAAAAGAGGACATCCCGGACGTCCTCCTCAGGACCGTCACGGCGAAACCGCCACACTCTCCGGAGAAAACGTCCAAAAATGAAATCTTTGTCACCAAAGACGCAGGAGTGACGCTCAGTGACAACAGAGATGCGTCCACAGAAGGTGTTTTAGCCGTTTTAGATCCAGACATGAACAATCTGGACAGACCCCTCATCGTAGACCAAAACGGGGAGACGAACACGCGAAGAAACCTCCAGTATGCGACGAAAGAAAGAAATGACAGCAGAAAAGAATACACTCCCGCGACGACCGTCGGCTTTGAACTGAAAGATCCGGAAATGTCGACGGAAAGATACCACAACCTGGCGAATGTGAATTCCGACAAAAAGGTCTTGAAACAGGACGTAAACAACATGATAGGGCCTCAAAGGGCCGGCGTCACGTGGCCCTTCGCTTGGAACCTGCACATTTATTTGGCCACCGGCATGTTTACTATCTTAGCCATTTACTCAATCTTTAAGATAATCTGCTACAATAAGTTCACGCATCTCTTCACCCAATATTACTTCATCATCTTGCACCTGATCCTGGTGTTCGTGTGTCTCTTGCGGATATTCTACATGTGCTACGACCCTTACAACATCAACAACTCGCTCCCGATATTCATCAGCGAAATCTTACTCCACGTGCCCGAAATATTCCTCAGCGTGGCCTTCGCCAGCACGATTCTATTCCTTCTCACGAACAGCATCAACTTCAAGACGACGTGCTGCGCGTTTTTGTTCAGGTCTCGGACGATAGTGATCGCGGGCGGCCTTCATCTGTTGTCGTGTGTGACGTTGCATATCTTTGAAAATAGTAGTACTATTTACAGGACTCGGCAGGGCGTCGAAAAAAGGGTACTAGGTCTAACGTGTCAAATTATATTTATCATGGCGTGCCTTACCCTCGGTCTGTGCTACTTGTACGTATACAGAATGCTCAAAACGGTGCTCCAGAAAAAGAGCCACACTTATATTCACGGGTTTCAAAATTTGTATCAAGCGATACACATAAACTTGGCCACGGCCCTGCTCTTTGTTCTCATGGCGGCTCTCCAAATATTCGGAATCTTCGGAATAAATCAAGTGAATATGACAAAATTCGATTGGCTCCAGTGGGGCTATCAGTTCTCGTTACGTCTCATAGAGATCAGTGTCGTAGCTCTCATTTCGTGGGTCATAAGTTTGAAAGTGGGCATCGTTGCGTCCCTACAGCACGAGAAGGCCGACGGGCAAAAGATATCGGGGCTGGGTCTATTCCCTTGCGCGGGCGGATCCAGCAACGAACAGTTCGAATCGGACTATCCCGCGATCTGTAACACCAACACGAATCTGCACACGTACACCCTCAGAACGGGAAAGCCCATTTACGAGACCGCCGGCAATCATCACGCGCCGGACCAGTGCTGCGTGGGACCCGTCGACCACCAGAGGTTCCACTTGACCACGCTCGCGGCCAACTGCGACAATAATTCCGGCACCGAGAACTATTCGGGACATAGCTCTATCGCGAACGCCGGCCACAGCAGCTCCACCGAGTCCAGCAACGCCACCTCGAGCCAAGGCGCCAATCTCATCAAGCATCACCCGAGCGTGGCCGGGTACAACGGCATCGAGTCTGCCTCCGACGACCACTACTCCAACTGCGACCCCGCGATGCACTCGCTGCAGGGCGACGACCCGCTCGACCACGAGTACAACGTCATCCAGTACGGCAGCAACAACGACTTTATCAGAGACATCAAAAACCAGACCTACACGGGCGGCTCGAACCGCAGCTCGCACAACTTCAAGCACGCGTCCTACGACCGAGCGTCTTCCAGGACGAACAGCAACCCGCGTAGGAAACACCGGCCCAAGAACAAAAACGTCCAAAACTGCATGACGATGGGCTACGACCCCGCCATGAGCCATCACTATCATCGGCCGCACTCCCCGGATGAGTACGTCGCCTACGACGCCGAGAACGCGTCCTACCACGCGTCCGGCATCCAGACCCTAAACCCCGGCAGAACTTTCGAGGGTTGCCAGGCGAGGAGTTCGCAGCGACGGATTTCGCCGTCTCTGGCCAACTCGGCCGGCGGCAGTCAGCGGAGGGGCAAGGGCAACCCGTACCCGGACCGACCCAAGTCGACGGACTTGTACGGATTTAGCGAAGACCCCGACGAGAGAAACTATCCCCGGACGTCCGGATCGCCGCAACAGGCACCTGGAAACTGCGGCTACGAGTACGCTCGGCCTCAGGACGAAATAAGCTCAAACGACGCGGCCGGCACGATGCTCGTGGCGCAGGACGGCTTCGTCAGGTTCAGGCCTCTGGAGGACGGGCCCCCGCAGACCTGACTCTCGTCAGAGGACCCCGGCTTCTGAAGGCGCGCTTCGACGGCGCATGTAAAATATAATGTCGGTGTATAGTAGATATAAGCGGTGTGGACCGCCGGCCTCTTGTAAATAGCGTAAGTTAATCGAGATCTCGCCTGAGACGATGCCATTATTTTTAAAGACGCGACTTTGACGATGCGATGAATGTGTTATCCGTTGAAATCCGAATCTGTTTTCCCGTTTGTGGAGTATTAGTGTTGCCATTAAAACCGAATAATTTATTTATAGTTAAATGTGTAGGGAATTTTTATTTAAACGACAAACTGCCATAGTTTTAATTTTTGCAATTATTGTGAAGGACGGGTGCGACCGACCTCTTTATTATGTGATAAGTTCGATTCGGTTCGTACGTAATTCTGTCCAACCCTTAAGCGAAGATTATCCTTTACGTTTCTGTTTTAGTTTCTTTGCATTTAACGCGGTGTTCTTCTAATATTTCAGATAAATGTTATATTCATAGTATACATGAATGTTATTATACTTATTATAATGGTATATGAGCGTGAAATATCAAATAATCATAATATTTATTTTATGCACGAAGATCGTAGTACTTACATGTTTAATATAGTCTGTGTCCTATTTAAGTGTTACCAGGTTTAGATGTTTTTTCTTACGTTTAGAAAGTATCTGGCAATCGGTGTCTACATTTTCAAAATATATTGTGTTCGATGTACAGAATAGTCGGCACAGAGTCGGTCGATTTAGGATCGTAATGAAAAAATATCATTTCTACTTTCAAAATTATCATAACCTAGTCAAAACGGATGTAATATGGTTATCGTAATCCTGCCTTTGACGTGAGAATAAAGGAACCCTAGTAAAATCAGAATTTATTGTGGATAGCACGGGACTATCCTAATGTTATGTCGAAATATTACGTTGAACATATAATGTGCGTTATCAATTAGATAGGTGAAAATATAATTGTATAAATTAGGACGAAGAGTTATATTCGAAAAGATATTCTTAGTCGAAAGATTGGTGTCTTCGAGGCTTAAGCGCGAGTGAGTGAAATGCGTTGTTACGCGTAAAGTTAAATAAATGGTAAGTTTACACTTTCTTGAGTTTTCTACGAAACTGCACATTTAATTGATAGTAACCCTGCGTTTTGCTCGTTCGTAAAAGTCCTCGAGGCGTTATTTGTGCTCACTTTAAAGTTCTATGTACATAATATAATCATCATATTGTATGGTGTATTTACCCTTGTGATGAGTCACTTTTTATTTGTAAGAGTGTATATAAACAGCTACAAAAGTAGCTAATATTGGCAATTTCAGTTTTTTGTAAATTATATCATTTAAATGTTCCAAGACTGTACCTATGTTTATCATTTATGAAACAACTGACATTTAATATGTATAATAAATAAAATGATACATACTTGGTGTTTGATTATTCTTAGAATCGACGAAGACTGGTGACGCTAACTTAATTCGAAGTCAAAACGGTGGGAAATAAAAATAACAACCTCTTGCCGAATGCAGAAAGGTATATCACAATATCAAAAGAACCGCATTTAAAATTAAAGCATCTAAACTTAAAACAAACCATAAGCAGCCGACTTCTTGTCTCCTTGATGTTTAAATTTGTCAATGAAAAAAATAAACGAGTTGGTGCCCACGACATGTGTTATAAATTATAATAGTATTGTCATCTGATAAAAATGGGCCAAATAAGTAAGCTTATAATTATTGTGCATTTTTGAAGCTTACCTTTTGCCGCGAGCCATAAGCCATCAATTGCTTAATAAAATTATCAACAGCCACAAAGATTCCAACAACAGATATAATATTTGTTTATTCTGTACGGATGCATAAAATTCGCTTGTAGAGTAAAATAGGATAATAAAAAATCAAATTGTATTCGCTACTCAAGTACAGATGGCATTATAATCACTAATCGTCTTGTTAGGTGGCGTACGTATACGTGGCTTTTAAAAGACATTTCATTCTTAGATAGATGGCGCTCATTTAAAAATTATCAATTAAACTTGTAATTCTATCCATACATAGATAGCGTAATAATCATATAATTTTAAGTTAAATGTATTTTTTGATGTGCGAATACAACTCTTACAATAAATTTATATTTGTAATTATATTGTGCGTTCACGCTGATTTTTGCTATCTTTTGTTTCGTGGTATCTTTTATTTAAACTTGAATTTGCAACTAAACATAAATAACAACATGTAGAAATAATAACATCCATTTATATTGAATTATTGTATATATTATTATATATAACATGTATATTATAAACATAGTACAATCGTCCTTAATTATATACAACTGCATTACCTAGTTAGCTGAAGACCTGCTGTCAAACCTGTAGTAAAATAATCTTGTATCTTGCCTATAAACAGTTTTAATATAAATTAACCTTCATAAGTAATAAAAAAGTCGTAAACAAATTAGTGTAAAGATACCTTACTTCAGAGCTGCGTTATTAAATGAATTTAAAAAATAATATTTTAATTTAAAATATTATGTCATTTCTACTAAAAACTCACCAAACGTGATAATTCATAATATAACGCTAAATGTACACTTACTCAAAACTGTCTTATATACTTTTGTATTATAAAAATAATTGATTTAAATAATATTCTACTCTCAGTCCTATATGGAATCGTCATAGATTATCGGAACCTTTCGACTTTTTCTTAACAGAAAATTGTTCGCCTAAAAGCTTCATAACCTGCGCGTGAGTTTGTCCAGATTTCTTTATAGATCCATAATTTTCCTTAACATAAAGTGCGAATTCGTTGGTGTTACCGGAACGTGCCGGAGTAGATACGACGACGCCATCTTTATTTTTTTTATTTACAATGATTTCAAAAGTACCGCGACAGTAACCGCAGCACTTTTTCGTTACGTCTATTGATTTTGAGTGACGTTTTATACTGTAAACAGGTAAACATTTTATTTTTAAATATCTTTATAAACTAACAATATTTCTGTGATAAAAGAACAGACCTGTATCCACATTGTTGGCATTTGTAACTGTATTTGTAGTGGATTTCTAGTTCGTGGCATCGAGATATTTCTTCTAATTCGGGAAAAACTCGCAGCGCCACTTTGCACCTACAATTTATAGAAATTAGGATGGTTTCTTGTCTGTACAATCAATACAGGGTAAACTCCATGAAACATCCCTCTATTTAACGACAAATCCCTAAAGCGTCGAAATCACTAGGCTTTGGTTGGTTTAGCTCGTTTTCCATACAATGATACACTCTACATAGTATACACCCACCCTCATAACGACATCAAATAAAAAATAAAAAGTACTTTTTAAGTTGTATACGAAATTAGTTAAAACTGTATACATTCTAATGTCGTTTATTGTCCTTGCCCGGAACAAACTCGACTGTCGGCATCATACGTACAGAGCTTTCTAAGAAATCCGTTCTATTATTTACTAATTGGGATTGCTTGCACGTGCTTTATTACGAAAATGTCTCAATATCGGAAGATATAAATAAAGGCGAAAATAACAGACTATACGCAATAGTGTTCAAATAATAATTGTTTTTTCATGTAATTACTATCACTACCCAGTCTGAAGTAAACCTTTTTCTTTTTCTAATTCAGAATTTTCTTTCCATTTAACATTTCTTTGTAACGTCAAAATAGGCACAGTTCCTCGGGTGTCGTTATATAGAGTTTACACTGTATATTAGACTCACGAAAACTAAAGATAATTGTAAATTACCGAATTTACCAAAGTAATGTTCTTAAAGATAATTGTAATTCTACAATTTCAATTAAATGTTGTCTAAATAATATTTTATCAGACAATCTGTTTACTATTTCTTTGAACCCGTTAATGTGAACATTGATATACAAACCATTTGACCCACAATGGCCCATGGCCAGCCTTGAGTTCGCCGTCCAAGATCCAAGTGGCCGCGTGACACATTTCGTGGATGAGCGTGTCTCGAGCTCTTTGAGCCGAATCCAACACTTTCGTCGACAACTTGACGCTTGACACGCGCAATTTCTCACCCGTTGACTTCTTTATCAGGCGGTTTGTTGTTGTACTGGAATTCAATACAAGAATTATGAGACAAAAGGAGCAGATTTATTTATCTTATGAACATATAAATATGTAAACGTACAATAATTAAGCAAGTCATGTCATTTTTGACAGTATGAACAATTTCATCATTTAAGAAATATAAAATATTTTTACCCAGCCGTACTCCTCAACTTTGTGTCCCATATCAAAGGCATGTCTTTGTCCAACTTGTTTCCAAACACCTCTCTGTTAAATTCTGAGTACAGTCGTCTTGCTAATTGTTCCCTGAGAGTCTTGTATTTGTCATGGTACTGCAAAGCTTCGGGGTGACACCGCCATGAAGGTACATTATCTGAAAGTATGGAAAAATAAAATAATTTGAGTTGTAAATTAGAGGGTCCAGAAGCCTCTGTAATGTGTAAAACCATCTAATCACTGATATTTCATCAAAATTGGTCAGTTCAAAAGAGTTTCATATTGTAAATATAGATAATTATGATAATATATCATCTATCTTTTAATCTGAAGTCACACATAAGGAATAAATTTATCAAATGTATTATTAATTTAATAATTTCAATCTAAAAATCACTATTTTTAACTAGAGTCAACTGAGTCACCACTCAGTAGGGGCGAGCGGCGGAGACATTGTTGCTTCTGTTCCATTAATTACATAAAGCAAGTGACCAGAATGGTGGGCCTTCTAATTAAAATAATTTTTATAAGATACTGTAAATAAATGGATAAATGAAAAAGTAATATAAAAATTTACCAGCTAAAGATGCTACAAAACTCAACCGTTTTGTCTCAGGTGTGTGGCAAACGTCCAAAAGTTTTAGCTTATTCGTCAGAACATTAATATTCCCTTTCTTTTTATTAATATCTACCTTTTCTTTCTTAGTAGATGTTTGATTCGGTCTTTCAGTCAAACCATTGCTACTAGTTTTTTCTGAAATGTTTTCCTTAACTTTGTTCAAACGAGCTTCTACCGATTCTGAAACTTTTTTATCTTTAACGTTACAGCCTCTAGTTAAATCTTCATCTTTCAGAAGTTTATTCTTTTTAATGTTGCTATCAAGTCTAACTTTATCTCTTAAATCATCATCCATTATCTGTACCAATTCTGTAACCGTCATTGCTTTTGAATTTTTCTTTACAGTTGTTTTAACATCACATGGGATATTAATTTTTGCTTTTGGCACCTCTGGAGTACTTACCAATTCTGTATACAATTTCTTTCTAGATTTTTTCTCTGAACTTTCTGCATCACTTTTCTTTTTTCTTTCTGAATCTGTTAAATATAACTCTTTGTTTTTTTTTATTACTGATCGGATGTTTTCTTTATCCTCATCCTCATACAAAAGTTTTTTTGACGCACCATTGGGTGCTCTAAAGTTATTCCATATATCATCTCCATATAATTCAGAAAGCAGCTTATGATGAGATTTTGTAATTTTTTCCATTGAACAGTGCTCTTGTGATTCGTTAAGAATATCACCTGGTGTAGATGGTTGAGGTTCAGTTCTAGGTCTAGCACAAAAGAAGTCCTGAGCAGGAGACCATCCATTGCATCTAGGATGTAAACTATTGTGTGTTGGAGAACATGCTGATAAGTCAGGAGATACCTGTAAAAGATTTTGCATTTATAACATAATAGTAAATTAATAATTAGTTTCATAGATATTGATGAAATAACACATAAAGAGCCAAAAAACCATATTATATACATACCTCTCCTGACTTGCTTGAATTATTATCTTTATCTAACAATAGTTCTTCATTTGTCAAATCATTGGACTCTTCTAATATTATGGGTGAGTATATTTTCTGTGGTAGAACACACTGGAATTTGAAAAAATATTAATATTTTCAAAAAACGTTTTATGCTAGAAATGCAGTGTAGGTAAATTATTAGTTTTTCGACTTGTAGTGATTTTTCCAATATCGCATTATAACTTACGGGTTTTGGAATTTCTGACCGTAGTCTTTCAAACGACTCATCGATAATAATAACATCAGAACTATTATTTAGTTTCTCTAATTTCTTCTCTTTATGTATTTTATTTTTCTTTAAAGATAGAGCTAGGAAACCTAAAAACATCAGTAACATTTCAGTCAAAAAAATATCATATTAAAGTAAATCATAATAAGTGTCTGTGGTTTAACTCACGTGTTTTCTGGTTTACATGATCGTTTTTTGTATCCATTATCATATATTTTGCAATATTTGAAACGTGGACATCTATGACTAAAGTTAAACTCGGAAAAATAATCAAATTTAAATTAACAGCCGTTACATACATCAACTGAGAGCTCTACACACGCCAATGTGTTTGAAGTTTGAGACTTTGAGCCAGGGTTGCCAACTCCTACAAAATGTTCCCCCTAGGACCAACTTCAAATACCCCTAAATGTCGATCAAAAACCCCTAAAGTTGTTGTTGTACAGTGTACACTTGGTTTGAGAGGTAATTTCAAATATGAATTAAAAATACGGTGAATTAGTAAAAATAGCTGTTGTATTTATGTGAGTACATTTTACATATTTATATGTATATGTTAATCAATGACCGAATAATATTAATGATTATAACAATGAGATGAAACGATTCTTATTTCTTAACTTTTCTTTCTTCGAATTCAGTTTTTCTTAACGTTTCTTGGCAGACAATTTTGGCGTTTTCGTCAATTTCTTTTTATACATTATTTTTGAAGCTTTTTGTACTTTTTCTTTTTGAAGTTATACTTCTTTAGGCGCGTTATGAAAAATTGATGAGAGTGAAATTTTATGATGCGCGCGCACCGTGACACAAAATTAACAGAATGAAGTTGCCTACGGAAGATGCTAGGCATTGGACATAATTTAAAAACAACATTCGAATAATAATAGAATTTATGTTACACTTAATGTAAAAGAATAATAATAAATATTTATTTATTTAATTTTTGAAACTATATATATATATATAAACTTTATTGACTATAACCACTCCTTTTCCAGTCTTTGATTATTTAATTGTAATTAATATTTTGCATGCAATCAAAAACTATTTTTAATAATGCCAAAGACGTATAACTTCTTACGCGCGTACATAAGTACACGCACCCTTTTTTTTATCTGTTCTGTTACAGTTAAACGAGACCGAATTAAAATAAAATAAGAATAAATGCTTCAATGTGCTTTTTTCCTTCTAATACAATATTATTAAATGTCATTGGGATAAGCTTCTAATATTTCGTCGCAGGCATCGGCCTGGTTATCGCGCTGCGATATTTGGTTTAGTTTGTTGATTGCGTTCGAAGCTTAATATAAATTTTATAGAATCGTGTGTTTGTAGAGATTTTTTTTTGGAATAAAGTACCCTCTAAAAAATCCCCCTAAATAAATGTACCCGCAAAAAACCCCTGGACATCTTGATTACCCCTAAATTTGGGGGGGGGAAACCCCCAAGTTGGCAACACTGGTTTGAGCAATGAGCGTGTCAAATATTGTTTAAGGGTGCTCTGTGCTCATCAGTGTTCGATGATCATCGAGGTTAGAATAAATGTTGCTATACGAAAAATATGGTAATATCGATGTTCGCAGGACCAATAATTCAACTTACGAAACACTACCAGCACAAAGTCATTCTCATAATACGAATGCTAACCCTATATACTGTATTCACCCTAAAACTCCAAGCCTCCGCATAGTGATCTCGAAATGACGTCCGAGTTGAGCTACTTTTTTAAAAATTCAGTGTCTGATGTTAAACAAGATTCTATCCAAGTTTGGAATAATGTAATCGGTTCCACTTACCCAAAATTACAAAAACTAGCGTTGAAATATTTGAGTATAATGGCGAAATCAACGCCATCCAAAAGACACTGTTTTCAAATGCTGGCTCAACTCTTTATAAACAAACAATTAAAAGGTTCTTCTTTATCAAAATTTCTTTTCCTTCAGTATGTTAATAAAAAATATTGGAATATGTGATAATTTGTTCTGTTTCTTAATAAGTTTCGAACCATTTCACTGTATTTTATTTCTTTCTCAATTATTAATGCAAACATCATCGATGTTGGATAGTGGTTTTCGATAAATAGTTGTTGGGCTTTCGATTATGACATCGATGTTTTTCGAATATCAACCACCCCTATTGTTGTTTTCATGTGGCAGTTGGCACATGGAGGGGTTTGAGCTGTTTTCATTGCTCTCACTGGAATTGATACTGACACAAATACGTCGATAATATAATTTAAAAACTACTAAGATAAACAAATTGTTTATTGTGATGGTTCATAGTTTCAATTTAAAAGAATCTAATTGAAAAGAGTTATTCAAAATGTTGTATTGTCACATCTGTGTACTTAGTAAGTAGCCATTAATCAATAATAGATGGCGTGATATACAATAGCAAAAGTATTTTATTGCGCGCTATAAAATCAAGTCATTATTCCTTAAAGTAAACATATTATTTTCAACGATATACCTAACTGTTTAAAATATTATACACTTTTACATAGAACACGTTTATATATGTTCTATATATTATGTCAAGTGTCAACCTATTCCAAACTTTCTCATTTTAAACCGACGCATTTTTTAATGATCTTCTAATATTTATTTAATTAAAAGAGATCTATTTAGAATCTTGAACAACATTATTTGTGCAAGATTTTAAATCAGTTAAAAAGTGACAGTAAACCAACTTATTTATCTCATCACACAAAAATTCAAAACCATCTCGGTGAAGGTCGTTGTATATCGGGATCTTAGACCATTAGGAATTTAATGAATGTAATTGTCATTCAAATAGTCGAGAATAAATACAAATAATCAATTTAATTTTTTAAATTTATTTCTTTGGTGATAAAAATTGCATTGTGGCATTTTAATTTACAATTCGTCATTTGAAATTTCAATCAATTATTTTGCATACTAATATTTCATAAATTCTCTTTACGAAATTTAAATTTTAAAAATATTATTTCTATAAGGTAATTCACCCTTCTCACTCTCTCTCAATCAATCTCAATCGCTCTCTCCCTTTTCTTCGACAAAAACGCTGCGAATCTTCGTGATATTCCCTCATGCGCCTAAAGAAGTTTCACTTCAAAAAAAATTTAATGGGGCTTAATATTGATTGGATGAAGCTACGGACTTTAATGTTGTAGTGTACCTATGCTTTCAATCTTTAAAGTGATGCCAATTCTGTGCCTTCAAGCCAAGCGATTACATATTTAAAGATTTAATTTGAAAAGTAACCACGGACCTTCAGATTTGTTGTGCCTTTCATTTCGTTTACGCAATCGCAATTGGTCTCGAACTGGGTCGAGAATCGTGCTAGATGTTCACGGTGTATACTTATTATTGCTCATTAAACACCAATTTTTCTGGCTACTCTATCCTAATGCCAGAACGTAAGTAAGTACAAAGTAACATACAACGCTTCTTTCAAATATCGATCTTTATTCAAATAATTAACATAATCCCACCAATGATTTTTCTTCAGATGAAGAAACTAGAAATTGAAACTATGATAAAAATGAAACTAGAAATTAGCTGGACATTCGTAAGTTATCTAAAACACATTTGTTGATTTGTTCGATGTTTTGCTGTTTATGCCTGTTCATTACTGCATAAGATATGTTGTCATGAGTCGAAATATAAAATAAGACACTTCCTTTTTTTTTTTTTTTTTTATAGAACGGGGGGCAAACGGGCAGGAGGCTCACCTGATGTTAAGTGATACCGCCGCCCATGGACACTCTCAATGCCAGAGGGCTCGCGAGTGCGTTGCCGGCCTTTTAAGAATTGGTACGCTCTTTTCTTGAAGGACCCTAATTCGAATTGGTTCGGGAATACTTCAGTGGGCAGCTGGTTCCACATAGTGGTGGTGCGCGGCAAAAACTGCCTTGAAAAACGCTCAGTTGTGGAACGTCGGACGTCGAGGTGATACGGGTGGAATTTCGTATTCTGTCTCGACGTCCGATGATGAAACTCAGCTGCAGGTATTAATCCGAACAACTCCTCTGAACACTCTCCATGGTAAATGCGGTAGAAGATGCAGAGTGACCCCACATCTCTACGCAACGCCAAAGGATCAAGCCGCTCGGAGAGGGATTGGTCGTCGACGATTCGAACCGCTCTGCGTTGTATACGGTCAAGTGGAAGGAGCTGGTACTGGGGAGCCCCCGCCCAGAGGTGAGAGCAGTACTCCATGTGGGGCCGAATTTGCGCTTTATATAGTGGCATGCGGTGGCCCGGAGTGAAGTACCGTCTTGCCTTGCTGAGCACACCAAGCTTTTTGGAGGCTAATTTAGCCTTTCCCTCCAAGTGACCGCGAAACTGAACGTCGCTCGATATGTCAACGCCAAGTATTCCAATGCTGGCTGTGGCTTTAAGAAGAGTGTTTTCGAAAAGAGGAGTAGCGACAATGGGTGTTTTTTTAGCGGAAAACGCGCAAACTTGTGTCTTCTTGGGGTTAAATTGGACTAGGTTTTGTCTGCCCCAATCTGAGACTCCACGTAGTAGAGTTTCGACTTCAGACACAAGTTTGTTCCGGTACTCATCAACAACTGCCCGAGAAATACCTGTCCGGCCAGTGTAAAAAGTATCCCCAGTGCTGTCATCCGCATAGCAATGAATGTTGCTAAGTTTCAACATATCATTGATATGCAGAAGAAATAGGGTCGGGGATAGAACACAGCCTTGTAGGACCCCAGCGTTTACGGGTTTTAGGTCGGAACATGCTCCGTCGATGACGACCTTGATGCTCCGAACGGCCAGAAAGCTGGAGATCCAATCGCGTAATTTCTCGGGAAGCCCATAGGCTGGAAGCTTCGAGAGCAGTGCTCTGTGCCACACCCGATCGAAGGCTTTCGCTATGTCCAAACTAACCGCTAGCGCCTCCCCCTTGGACTCAATTGCCTCTGCCCATCTATGTGTAAGGTATACAAGAAGGTCACCAGCCGAACGACCACGACGAAAGCCGTACTGATAATCGCTAATCAGCTGGTGGCCCTCTAGATACCTCAAGAGCTGGCAATTAACAATGGATTCCATTATTTTGGAGAACAAGGAGGTTATAGCTATTGGGCGATAGTTGGACGGATCAGAGCGATCGCCTTTTTTAGGGATCGGATGTATCAAAGCGGTCTTCCAGCACTTCGGGACAGTGCCGAGCGAGTACAGGTACCGGAAAAGGCGTGTTAAGACCGGAACC